TTAAATGTTAGGATAGAGAAGTTAAAAAAAAAAAAAAAAAAAAAATGCCCAATCAACAAACATCGTGCATTGGAAATATGTTTCGTTGTATAAGGAATTCTATTAGATCGATCGAATTTTTTCATCGAAATAAAATCTACATCGTTATACTTATTTCGCGTTAAATATACATATATATTCTTGAAAAGTTTGATCAATAATATTTTCGCATGTCACATACCATCTAATATATATATTGGCATTTAAAAATTAATGTTACTTTGTCATTTACACATATCGTTAAAAAATTTGTGTCATGTGTAATATCGATTATTTTATTAAAAACTTATAATATTACGAGGCGTCTGGAATCAATATCCACCAAATCCATTTTTTGTATTGATAATTCATTTTATAATTCATTTAAAATTGTTGTTATTATTTTGTAATACAAAATTAATCGGATTCGGCCAATTTTGATTTTAAATGTCTCATATATTTGTTAGAAATTATATGTATATGAAAAACATTATTAATTAAAATTTCTCTATTTCTTTTTACAATTAATTTTAATTTGTTCATAGATGAAAACAATACAACATAATCGATCACAATGAGAATGCTGCTCTAAATATTTTCAAATTTATAATTTTGATTTTATATAATAAAAAAATATATTTATATAACTCTATTTTTTTTTTTTTTTAAATAGTGATGTAATATTCGAATCAAATTTTTTAAACATAATTTACATAAAAAAAGATTACTTAAAATTTTTTGAAAATATGAATAATTTAACTTAAAAGAGTAAAACCACTGCCATTATTTATTTACAACGAAATTAACTTTTCTCATTAGAAATATTAACACTGCCTCAAAAAGGTAACCATTAATATTTAAAAACTAGTATCAACGAATAAATTTGAGTTTATATTTATTAAAAAATATATTATGAAAATTAAAGTTTAAAAAGACGCACGAAAATATTTTTGGTGGTAAAATCATCGTTTGGAACGCTGCGTTCATAATTATCTTAGTTACCACAAGGCCTATGCATATATTAATATGATTATCGTAATTAGTTATTGTATTATACTTCAAAGTATGTAACTATTTTATAAATAAATAGATAATCAATGTTAATTGTTATATATTCTTTTGTATTAATTTACCTTCTAAAAATAAGAAACTAACAATAGAAAGAGATAAAGAGAAACTATACTTTGTAAAAGTCTTCACCATTTTATTTTTTTCCATTGATAATTATACAACTTATTTTATTTTTTATTACACTTAAAAATATTGCATAAAGTATTATGAATTTTTTTGTATATATCTTATAAAATTTGTCCAGTTACTAACTTTTATTTATAAGGTGATCTGTTAATTAATAATATTGACTAAAATGCATTATCAAATCTTATAAACAATACATTTCATATCTATATTTATATCAATATATTTTATATTGATATATTTATCATCATTTCAACATAGAAATATATAATACACAGTTCCTCATATGTGGATTATAATATCAATTCAAATTATGTTTTTATAAAAATGTAGAATAAACTACGTTTTTATAGACTCTGACTTCTTTTTTTCCATTAATTGTTGACCAACAAAATCCCAATATCTTCTTCTTATTGGATCATGTTTTTCAGATAATTCTTTACATAGCTAAAAATATAATTAAAAAATATAATTCTGAACATAAAGTTATAAATATACATTCAATTAGATGAAGCAATACCTTAAGAGCATTGTCAATATGAAATATTGAATTAGATGACTCATCTGATATTGGTTTCTCTTGACAAATGTCTATAATACAGGCTAGTAAATGATTAACACGACAACCAGCATGATACAATTCCTCACATTTTTGTCTTACTTTTTCATTATAGGCCAAACCATTACTATCATGCATCAAAATACTAAAATATAATTCATAATATCATTAATTTAATTATATATTTTATAGTCATAAATTGCATAAATAATCACCAACAGTACCCTCGAAGGTAATTCCAAGCACTTTCATTGCCTTTAACTAATTCTATTTTATCCAGGGCAAAGTCAATTTCTCTGTCAATTATATTTTGTTCAAACTTGGTTGTGTTATTTATTACAAAATAACGCTGATTCCAAGCAGAATTATTGCGAATATCTTCATTCAATAAATGTTCTGTATATTCCAACTCTTTCTCAAATAAACTGAATATATATTTATTATTAATATTTATCATATAAATTTGTAAATAAAATTATAATATATATAATAATATAAATAACAGGTATAATAGAAGATTATACTAACTTAAATGTTTTTATACACCATTGACGATGCTGCCAAACATGATAATTTTTTGCATCAATTTTCAAAATATTTTCTGTAAACTCTAATTCTCCACTAGCATCTTGGAGCCATTCAACAATAAGTTTCCTATGATGCCACACTTGATAATTTTTAGAATTATATTCTGTGAGAATATTAGTAGATTTTAATTCATCTCTTAATTCTTTTCCAAGAGCTTTAAGTATTTCTCTTCTATATTGCCATACGGTATAATTTGCTGGATTAAGATAGATACAATCTTCTGTTAAAGCTAATGCACGTTCTGACTTTTCACCAGATTTTAGAATAGCTCGGAAATAGTCATATGTGTCCCTAACTTAAAATGATAATAAAATTTTAGTAAAATTGAAATATTATATTAAAGAAATATTAAATAAAGATAATATAGTTTGTAAATATTAAAGTATTTATTATATAAAAAAAATTTTTTTAATTTAAATATAATATTTTTTATTTTATGTTTATGATAGCTTATAAATAAATAGAATGAATTAATTATGAAATAAATGTATAATTATAACTTAAAAGTATTTTAAAATAATTGAAATAATAAAATACACTATATACATATTATATATATAAATATATATATGTATATGCCTACTTAAATTCTTTAATATCTACATAAATATTTATCTATTAAGTATGTAAGGTTATGTGTGAAATAATGCATTATGATAAGAGTATTAGTACTAATAAGATATAATTATAAATCTTATATATATCTGAATATAATGAATTATCAATAAAATTGAATAAATAACTTACATTTCAAAGAATAAGCAATTGAAACAATAGGATTAGGACCATCATCTTGAGGCACAGGAACTACATCTCTCCATTCCTCACGATCTCTGTATAATACCCAGCTTGATTCTTCTGAGCTTTCATCAGAACTTTCCGTCATTTTTTATTTCCACGAAATATCGTAAACCGATAAAAATGAAAATCTATTTCCACAATTGATCTATAATCTTAATTTTATCTCTTCAAACCTGTTAAGCCCCCCATTACAGATGGAAAAATGTCGATAGTATATCGATAGCTATCGTAATCGAAATTATCGATATTTTTTTTTATGATTAATAATTTTTTTTTTTAATAATTTCTTGATACGTTTTTTACAAATAATAAAAATTTCAATAAATTTTAAATTAGATTCTATTTATATTAAAATCTTATTTTAGATTCATTTTGTACTACCATAATTTACGATTTAATTCTAACCAATCTCGTAACATCAATGAATTCCGCAATTGGCTAGAATAAAATAATAATCTCGCAGAGTTTTATACTCTATATTTTGCATAGTTATTGTTCTAAAAATGCATTATATATCTATATTTTATATATTAAAGATTAAATATATTGTGTATTCTTTTGAAAAAAGAAAATGAAAGTATGTTTAATTAATATTCCTTGTTTGTGATTACGCGAGAACAAATAGTAGGAAAAGAACAGAAATAGACTAAAAATATGGAAATTATCATTTCTAAAGTATTGTACTGAGAATAAAACTAAATAGATAAGAAATAAATAGCAGAAAATGATTAAAAATAGAGTAATTTCACCGCCATTTCTTGAATACTAAAAATCCCTCTAAAAATCATTTTACTAAAAATATTTTAAATTTGTTGATCCTTAATTCTTACTTAATTCTTTTTGAAAAAATATTTTTAGCATTTGATACTGTCAATTATCTTATCTTGTCTTTAATCTTTAGTTCTTTAGTTATTTATAGTTCTTTAATTATTCTATTTAGTTTTATTTATAGCATGCTAAAAATGGCATTGATTCTCGAATTTTTATTCTCTCATTCTTGGTTTCTTTATTTATATTTTATAGTCTTTTATTTCTCTTTTCTATTTATACTTTAATAAATAATATGATCAAGAGACAATTTTATCTCTTTAATTTTATTCTTTTTTACATAATCTATTAATTTACGAATAATTCAATTCACATGAATTTATCTACTATTCGTAATAGTAAAAAAATGAATAAATTTAATATATATATATTTATGAAATATGTCAAAAAAATTATTTTTAAAATCTTAACTTAGATGTAAACTCAATTTTTTTTTATTGAATTGAATATAATTCTTGCATTCATCCTAATTTATAAAAGAGATTAAACATTTCGATTTTTTACGTAATCTATTCAAAATATGGATCGCAAAGTTTCATTAAATATTAAATTTATTTTGTATCCCGTACGTGTAGAAATTATATTTGTTATCTTTGGATAATTATTAAATATATTCTAATTATTATTAACATTATATTATTATTTTTGGATAATTATTAAATTATTTATTAGATATAAAAAAAATTAATTCATTCGCGAAATTATTCTTCTGTAGAAAAATATGAAAATTTCTAGTAATTATATACAAAATTATTCATTACACATTTCCATTAAACAAAACAATATAACGTTTTTATTATTTAATCAATTGTGTCACCTGAACATACGAATCAGTTAAAACGTAGTTTTTTGTCAAAATACAGGAAATATGCTTATATATATTGTGATTTTCGTAATTTCATACTTAATTTGAACATATTTAAAGTAAACAAATTATTATGATCAGAAAAAATATAATTTATGCGAAAATTCGTGATTTTTTAAATTAATGTACATATTACTTACTATTTGTTAACTGTTTTTGTTCGGATATATTTATTTAATTTAAATCAAATTCGCTATGTGCTAACGCTTTCTTTCTTAAATAGTCTTTTAATCAATTGATAACAAAAAATGTGTAGCAATCCTTGTCGCAGCACAACACAGATTAAAATGCCAACGCTTGGGCGATTGCAACATTAGCATGCCACTCTTTACAAGTAGAAGTTCCGAAGTGTTACTTTCATTTTTTATGAGCCATTACACAGAGGTAGAACTTAAAAACTAAAACTAATGATAACTAATTTTATGGAAGTTAATCTGTTTAATAGTTTATGAAATATTTAATATTAAAGAGAAGAAAAAAGAGAGAAAGAAACAGAGAGAATATTCCTGACATATAAAGTAAGACTTCATTTATAAAAAGAGATTCACTTATACATAAGCAAGCACTTAACAACTGTTGCTACACTATGCAGTACCATTACTAAAATCTAAAAAATTATTTCCTTTCAAAATCAAATATCATTTAACTTCAGTTTTTTTGATGTATTATTATATAAAGGCTCATCAAAAAGTTAGGGTTACACTTCGGGATTTCTCTTTGTTAGAAATTCCTTGTTATACAATAAAAAAATAATTAATTCTTCTCTTCTTTCTTTTCAGGTTTCTCTTCTTGTTGTTGACTTTGACTTTGGCTTTGTCCTTCTCGTTCTGCAGCCATCTATATATAATAAAATAAATTAATAAAATACTTATATAATAATGTTATTAAAATTTCAAATTAATTTTAATAAATTACATACTTTCTTATATGCCATTTCGAATAATTTAAGACTCGCTTGTTGTAATTCGTTTGTTTGTCTTTTAATTTCTTCTGGTTCCGTGTCATCTTTTTTAGCTAATGTTCCTCGCATTTTCCCAACCAAATCTCTGAGTTTGTCACACTATAAATAATTATATAAATAATATTATGATAATGAAATCAAATTACTATGCTGTAAATATCATAGAATATATGATATATGATATATATATGATAGAATAATGATTTTATATAATAATGCATTATACATATGCTTACTTCATCTTGTGGTAATTGTGCTTTAAATTCTTCTAATTTAGATTCCGTATCGTGAATAATTCCTTCAGCTTGATTCACAGCTTCAACTCTTTCTTTTTTTATTTTATCTTGTTTAGCATATTGTTCTGCATTTTTCACCATATTTTCAATTTCATCTTTACTAAGACCGCCACTTGATTGAATAACAACTATAAATAGAAATTTAAAATAAAATAAATTAAATCAATTTTGTTAATGTATATATAAATTATATTAATCTATTTCTAAACTAAAAAATATATTGTAATTAATTTACAATATATTTACATACTTTGTTGTTCTTTTCCAGTTCCTTTATCTCTAGCAGACACATGAACAATACCATTAGCATCAATATCAAATGTGACTTCTATTTGTGGCACACCTCTAGGTGCAGGTGGAATTCCAACAAGAGTAAATTGTCCTAAAAGTTTATTATCGCTAGCCATTTCCCGTTCACCCTGATGTACTTTAATTTCTACTTGAGTCTGACCATCAGCAGCTGTAGAAAATACTTGACTTTTTTTGGTAGGAATAGTTGTATTCCGAGAAATTAATCGTGTGAATACTCCACCCAATGTTTCAATTCCTAAAAAATTTAAATATTAAATTTCAAAAATTTCTTTTATCTAAAATTTCTTTCTAATATATTTAAGAGAATAAATATTTATAAAAATTCAGTAAATTATAGTCTTCATTTTAATCAGAGAGAAGATTAGTTCTAATAATCATCACAATTTAGAAATAATTTTAATTAAAAATATAAAAAAATAGTAAATGTATACCAAGTGACAAAGGTGTAACATCCAAAAGAAGAACATCTGTAACATCTCCAGCAAGAACACCACCTTGAACTGCAGCACCTACAGCTACAGCTTCATCAGGATTTACAGCCTTTGATGGTTGTCGACCAAAAATTTCTTGCACAGTTTGTTGAACTTTTGGTACTCTTGTCATACCACCAACCAATAATACTTCACCAATATCAGATCTCGTTACTTCAGCATCAGAAAGTGCCTTTTGACATGGCTGAATAGTACGTTTAATTAAATCAGCAACAAGGTTTTCAAATTTACTTCTTGAAAGCTTAAGATTTAAATGTTTCGGTCCACTAGAATCCATAGTTAAATAAGGTAAATTTATATCAGTTTGCAAAGAACTAGACAATTCAATCTTTGCTTTTTCAGCAGCTTCCTTCAATCGTTGCATGGCCATTGCATCTTTAGTTACATCTATACCTTGCTATACAAGGAAATAAAAATAGTATTGAAATATCATATATAATAATATTATAAAAATATATATGATACATATATAAATAACATGAATTATTGCACTATACATACATCTTTTTTAAATTCTGATACAAGGTGATTAACCAATGCATTATCAAAATCTTCTCCTCCTAAGAAAGTATCCCCATTTGTAGATTTAACCTCAAAAACTCCTTTCTGAATTTCCAAAATTGAAATATCAAAAGTACCGCCTCCTAAATCATACACTGCAATACTGAAATATATATCATCTATATAATATATGCTTCTTTTATTAAATGATATTCAAAAATATTATTAAATTAATCAGTAAATAATTTCAGCATATATAATATATAACTCTAAGAGACGAAAAATAATAGCATCATTTTTTTTTATGTATTTCATAAATAGATTAATATATTTAATTTATAAAATTTTATAAAATTAAAAATATTGAAATTCTTACATTCTATCTTCTGTTTTGTCCATGCCATATGCAAGAGCAGCTGCTGTTGGTTCATTAATTACTCTAAGCACATTAAGTCCAGCAATTTGACCAGCATCCTTGGTAGCTTGTCTTTGAGAATCATTAAAGTATGCAGGAACAGTAATTACGGCATTTTTTACTGATGTATTTAAATATGATTCTGCTGTTTCTTTCATTTTCATGAGTACAAATGCACCAATTTGACTAGGAGAATACATTTTACTATCGCCTCCTTGTACCCATGCATCTCCATTAGAGGCACGGACAATTTTGTAAGATACACTTTTCCTAAAATTAATAAATAAACAAATTAATAAATTTACTTAAAAGAGGAATATTTTATTTATTAATATATATGAGCATAAAGTACATACATATCTTTTTTTACTTCAGGATCATCAAATCTTCGTCCAATTAGTCGTTTTGTAGCATAAAATGTATTTGATGAATTAGTAACTGCTTGTCGTTTAGCTGGCATACCAACTAAACGTTCTCCTTCTAAAAAATTAATAAAAAAAAAATAATAAATAAAAATCACTTCTGAATCCATTTTAGTGAATTCATTTTCATAATTTTTTTTGCATACAATATTATTTATATATATATATATATGATTTAGAAAATATACTTCCTGATTTAGAAACAATTATCTTAATAAAAAAATTTAAAAAAATAAAAAAATTATATTTAAAATATAGAAAAATTATAACAATACAGAAAGATTTATCATTTATTCTTTTGTGATCATTATTTAATACATACAGAAAAAAATTTCCTAATTATGTAACATAATGTAAAATATATAATATATAATATAGTTTCTAACCTTTACTAAATGCTACATAAGATGGAGTCGTTCGTGATCCTTCTGCATTTTCTATAACTTTAGGTTGTTTTCCTTCCATAACTGCTACACATGAAAATGTTGTTCCCAGATCAATACCAATGACTGCTCCTTTTACACCTTCGGATCTGAATAAATAATACATTTACTTTCAAACATAATTTAACAAGATAATTTATATTACATTAATAGTAAGATATATAATTAAATATATAATTAATTTAAATATATAAACTTATTATAACATGATTTAATTATTTTAATTAATTTACTTGTATCTGTATTGTTGCAAATCTGTAAATCGTTGGGGCATGTTCAAAGTAGGAGCTACAACCTGAAAAATATTAAATTTATATTCAGATTGTTGTATTTAATATACTGTAATATACTATAATAGACTATAATAGTTAATTATAACATGAAAAAAAATCTACTATAATAATAGTATCATAGAGTAATAAAATAGATACAAATATAATAATTATCAAATATATTACATCTTTTTGCAATCAATTTAAAATATATAAATATTATATTGAAGATCACGTGCCGGTAATGTTTAAGTTTTAATAGAAAGAATATTTAAATAACAAAGTGTTAACGAAATAAAAATAAATATATTATAATAAACTTATTCTTATAATATAATCAATTAATATTAACATTGTAGAAAATAAATAGAAAGAAAAAATGTTCGATAAATGAAATTGAAACGGCGTGTCGTACGAATCGCCATCGGAACTTACATTTTTAAGAATTGTGCTAAATTGTTGTTTTCTAGTAATATCGCAGGTTATATTGCTACAACTACGAGTTAATAATCTTGCAGCAGTCAGCATCTTGATTTTATACGTTTTTATCGCTTAAATTTATGAAAAACTTAAAAAAAGACGCGAATACTCTAACTTCACGTGTAGTGATGCAACCTTCACAGAGACTAATAATGCGCACACCATGCGCGCAATAGAACTCCTTCTATTTCACCAACCAATAAAGATAATATTATTTAACCAATGGGAATTCAGTTCTTAATGGATACACGAATCACTGTATTGCATGGCCTTCCTGCTCTTAGTTACTCGAGAAATCGAGAATTATCTATCCCGAATATTCTACTAGAATATAGATGTCGTAATCATTAATCGGATAAATAATAAAAAATTAAAATCAAAAAAATGAAATAAATAGTCTATATAATAATTTTAATTATATGTTATTCTAATATAAAATAATATTATCTATTTATTATATGAATCAAAAAATATAGTTGTTCAAAGATTAAGATTGTACATGAAAATGTTGCAAAGATATTACGAGTACTTCCGGAATTTAAAAAGTGATGTAAAAAAATAACGGTATTACATAATTCAAAATTATAAAATAATAATTTATTCAATATTTACAAGGAATGTAATCAGGTATGAAAAATATTATTTTATTTAAATTAAGTTATTTAAAATATTTTAATAACGGAAAATAGAAAAGTTATTCATACTGAATAAGTAATAATCTTCATGAAATATGAAGATTTTCTATAAATGAAAAAATTTCATTACAACCAATTGCTTTGTTATTCCATTTTAATCGTTAATTAGTTAAAACAATTTTTTTTATTATTGTTTTTTATATTTAGTTAGATAATTTTGCTAAATAAATAGATTTTTATATCAATAATTTGTAATCAAGTATAAAAAATATTATTTTATTTAAATTAAGTTATTTAAAGTATTTTAATAACGGAAAATAGAAAAGTTAATATGTATTTATTATTTATTCATACTGAATAAATAATAATCTTCATGAAATATGAAGATTTTCTATAAATGAAAAAATTTCATTACAATCAATTGCTTTGTTATTTTGTTTTAACTGTTAATTAGTTAAAACAATTTTTTTTATTATTGCTTTTTATTTAGCTAAATAATATTGCTAAATAAATAATTTTTTTATATTAATAATTTTAATTTTGATGCACAAATTTTAAGTAATAGAAAATAATAAATTGTATTATATAATATCATGTTATAATATATATTATATCTATATCTACTATACTATATACTAATATCATTAATTATAGTTTGTGAGAATAAATTAAATTTAGAGGAATATATATATATATATAAAATAAAGATATTATATCATTTATTTCATTAAATAATCTCTCTGAAATTAATAAATTCATAATTTTAAATTATTTTACTTTCATAATACTATTATGGAGTTCAATTCATAACTATTTATATTTTTATGATATTTTTATAATGTCTGAATGTTATATAATTTTAATTTTATATAATTTTTTAGTAATTATTATTTACTAATCTATCAATTAAAAAATATAAAGACATTTAATGTTAAAAACTTATATACAAAAAAAAATAGGTATTTGTGTTCTGTTAAATGATACATTTTTAAATACAATTACTTTTGTCATATATATATTACAAATATGAAAAATATTAAATACAAACTTATACAAAAGAACATATTGATATAATTGAGTAAATAGTTCTTACAAACTATATTTCATTTATATTTATTAATTGTTAGAATTTTCAATTGAAAAAAATTGTAATTTAGTTTTTTAATAAGAAAAAAAAAATAAATTATATAAAACCTTCTATGCAAGGAACAATATCGATTGACATAATTGATAGTACTTTTTATTAATAATAATTAAATAAAATTTGTTATCTACAATTATAAATAGCAAAAAATTATGAATTATTTTCTTTCCAAAGTAAAAGATTTGGAGATCCACTTGTGTGTATTGTACAATTTATTAGTTCATTTCTGAAAATTTAAATCATTTATTTTTTATCTATGATAAATAATATTTTAAATATTTATTCATATAAAATATTTAACTTACAAAAATCGATCTCTTAAAAGAAATGCTCTTGGTTGTATCAAACTCAGTCTTTCACCATTGTAGCATAAAATTTGTGTCATTGTGATTTTTCGGATTTCATCTAATTGATTTAAAGTAAATGATCCTGGGCTGTTTGCATTTTCATACCAATATCTGTCACCTATATTATAATATTATAATCAATAAAATAATATACTAATCAACAAAATTAATAAATTAATAAATTAGTAAATTATATAGCATCAATTATAAATATTGAAATAAACAAAAAATATCTATTAGAGATTATTTTTCAAGTTATAAACAATTTAATCTTGCATTAGATATGGAATGATAATAGTAAAATTAAATTCATTTATAATTTGAAAAATAATTTTTAATTTATATTTTTGTATATTAATTATTTCATTTATTTCATTTGTGTCTATAGAATCGATCTTTCAAAAGGATTCCACATTTCTATATCTATAAACACTATTTCTATGAATAATAATCTATATAATAATATATCACTCTATATAATATCGATGTGATATAGTTTTACTTTTATAATTAAATTTTTATAATTAAAAATGGATCGATAATACTTACCAAAACGAATATTTCGGAAAGTACGACCCAATAAACAAAGAAATGTTGGTCCTAAAACTGAATCGGATAACGGTGCTTCCGAAAGCAATGCTGTTACTAAATCTATATCTTCTACTTTTCTGTTAATTAAAAAAAAATGCAAATAAAATAATATAATACAACTTATTAATAAAATAAATTATAAAATCAAAATATAAAACTATAAATCGAAATATTCAGGTTTAAAAAAATTAAGCATTTTTGTAATGGTTCAATTTTATATCAATATTATAAAAAATAAAATCTATAATTAGCAATTATTATTCACTTACTTATAAACTTTTCGAAGTCTGTCTATAGTATTTTTAGACATTGTACCTCTAAGATTTTCGAAACTAATAATATGAGGTAAATTGCAAAATGATCGCCATCTAACATAAGGTGGTAAACCGTGATCTCTTCCTTGTTGTATGATTTGTGCAGCATAATCCACGGCGATATCGTTGCTTTTTCCATCATGAAAATATCTTTCCAAAAGGATTTCATTCAGTCCCGGTGGCAATGGCTTCCTAGAATGTCCCGCTGTCGCGAAAATTAAATCTTGCATCCTAGATTGTCATTAAAACCAAGTTCTCATGGGATACTATGTTAGCGTAATAATATTTAAAAAAATTTTATCTAAATTCCACGTATATTTTTAATAAATCATTTATCTTTCAAATACTATTTTTTAATAAAAAATGAATTAATCTATTTTTTTGTTTTTTCTAATAATAATTACTTTATATTCGAATAATAAAAATACAAAGAAATACAAATCCAGATATTCGAATTTGAATGTTATAAAATAATTCTAAAATTAATAATCTATGAATTTAAAGACTTTTAGAAGACTCGCGAGAACATTGACTATTACATTCTATAATTGTTATAAGATTTGAAAGATTGCAATAAAAATTTAATATTTGCAAATATTTGTACAAGCGATTCTAAAATCAAATGATTTATTTGAACTAATGGCATTTTGTGGCATTAATATCTTCAAGTTAAATACGAAATGCATAATACTATCTAAATATATTTTCTACATATACTCTGTTATAAAATGCGAGTTTAAGGAAATTTTTTATTGAAATTATATTTACATATAATTTCAACTGACCTGTAGCGCCGACGATCAAGCGATCAATAGCACCAGCTTCATAGAACTCTTGCGGAGCGTAGAAGGCCGATAGTAAGGACCTTTCTCCAGACTTTGACGCCGATCGCGAGTCAACTAGGTCGAGGGTTTTTGGGGTCAACGTGGCAATGAAGAAGAGTCCAGCAGACGCGACAGCGTTCGAAAGTGTCGCATCCGTTCGACTGTCGTAGTTTCGAAAATAGCCTCGATGCGTTAAGCGTAATTGGTATCTTTCGATATTATAAAAAAAAAAAAAAGAATTTACATAAATTAAATAAAATCAAATAAAATAAAAATAAATTAACGTTTTAATTAATAATTAAAACGAAATGACAAATTGTTAATAGAATTAAATACAAATTTCGCTATATTTCGATCTATCGAACGATTGAAATTGTTAAATTAATTATAAAGCGAATAAGAGAAATACGTACTTGTCGAGAGTTGTTTCGCCGAGAACAACGGGTAGAAACTCGTTATAAGTTATATGCTCCATTTCCGCGATAACGATCCTTCTTGCTTCCTGGTAGAGTCTCTCATCTTCCCAGTGGGGATTCAGTTGTCCCAGGGCAGTAGCGACTCGGTTATGTTCACGTAGAAAAAGTACATGCATCAGAGTGAGACCGGGATTCTCGTTTACCCGCGAATCCCCGCTAAGAAAACACGGGAAAGCTTTGTTCGCGGTTCTGCAACTTTCGTACTTGGGCGAAGGCATGGGCAAGTTCTTCCTTTGCGTATTAAGCAAACCTCCTTTGCCGGATCGGAGAGCTTTCGCTACGTCTTCGGAACTCCCGTAAAGAGGGGAAAGATCCAAATACGAGGACGCTTGGTTGATCTGTTGTCGAGGACCCAATTTGCATCCCTGTAACGAGGGATTCGTTATTATACAAATTTTG